ACTGAGTAAAACTATGGTTATAATGAAAAAATTAGTGGTGTATTTTTACATACATGAAAGCTGTTTTTACAGCGCTCTCTGGCGGTCTTCAACACGTAGCCTCCAAAGCTTCCTATCATCCTGAAACCTTTCAGGGAGTTAGCGATTCCCTATTTTCACCTACAACCCCCTGTCGCCACCCTTTCACTGGGCGTTCCCTTTCATGACCTCCCAAAAGGAACCTAATCTAGCATCAGCTCTCAATTATTATGTGACCATAACAAACAAAAGTGTTATGTTCACTATTAATTGATAATTTTACTGACGCAGAGGCAAAATTACCAATTTAATAGACAAGTTATCATGAAAAGGTGAACATACTACTGTTGTTTCAAGGAAAAAGTCGATAACAGGTCGGATAAGTTTGATGGACTAGGTATTTACAAAATCTAGAAGAGTCAAGCGTCAAATTCGCATATCATTTATCGATAGTTATCCCTCACTTTGAAAGGTACATAAATTTGCTCCTAAATCGTAGTTTTCCGGACGAAGGAACGTAACTCGATTCCAAGGTTGCCAAATTGACAGGAACAAATGATATTCTAATAAGAATGTACCTATGAAATTTGTGTCTAAAATTTGTCTGATTTTTGCATGAGATTAGTAGAAAAATCAGTCAAATTTTCAGTTAAAAATGCCTAAGCCTCTTCTGATAAAAATCAAATTTGCAAGCAGAAATTTGGCAGCATTGAAATGTAGTTACGTTCTTTCGTGACGAAAAGAGCGAAATGTGAGGTAGCTTCAGTTTCATGATACCTGCCCAGGAGAAGTTGTTATTGTACTAAAATAGAGTAGCTCTCTAACTCAAAACTCCTAAACTGTCGTGCCAAGGAAGAACGCCGTATGAGCCTTCAGACGTTGCCAACTTTCCTTCGATAAAAACAGAATTTACTGGGAAAATTGTAAATATTTTCGGACAATTCTTTTCAGACAATTTTGTACGAAATTCAATCTAAAACATTTGAAAATTTCAAGGAAAAATATGAGTAAATTGCGTCCAAAATACATGTTTTAATAAGGAAAATTTGGCAAGTCTCGAATGTTCGTACGGCGTTCTTCCTTAGCACGCGGCAGTAAAGGACATATTATATCAAATTTAGACGGATGCGGTTTTTGTATTTTAATACCATCTAAAAGGCAAAAATGGCTAAACCCACGTTTTTGTTAGATCACCGCATAAAAACCCCCTCTCCGAAATAAAACGGGATCCTCATTTTTTTACAAGTCGGGCACTTTTCGAAGCGAACAGTTTCACGGAGGAATGGAAAATTAATCCGGAAAAAAGGCCTGCGACCTATTTCGTTTCACTCAATCAAAATATCGCACTCTTCCAAGTTTCCTGCATGGTTAGTCAACACGGCGAATGCACATCAAAAATTACGAGTTGAAATGCGACGCGAGGCGTCTGTTTCCGCAAATATTCACCCCTTCCTCTCCCCACGTCCCCCTCACACCCCAACTTGGCTGATCTGTTCCATCCAGTGCACATATCACCCCCCTCCCATGCGACCACCAAGTCGCGAATGTCATGACACATAAATACGCGCGTCGTAAAGGGAATGCACTGAGTAGATATGACCCCGAAAATAGGATGACTCGTAGCTATCACGACCTCAACTGTATAAAATTTTGTCGATGGGGGCCAAAAACCCCGGTAATTACCTGAATTTTTCGTATTACCACGTTGTAGGCCGTATGTGAAGTCATTCTTTAAGTGCATTATTTCTTTAGGAGGTCCCACCCACATGGAAAGAAAGTGGACGTATTTCTATCAAATAGAACTATGTGGAGAGGGAAAGATGGGGTAAGCTCGGCCAGCAAGTCGACAATTTTTTCTTTGATAGGAACAAATGTCACGGTGATTGATATTTGTTCGATCAGTCCTCAAATCACCATAAGCCTGTGTCACACTATCAAAATACTCCATCAAAAGGTCAAGGTTCAGTGCTGTGATTGGTCCAAGTCATCGAATAAGCCAATCACAACTCCTGACCTTGATATTTTGATTGTAAGCTTTGATAGTGTGACACAGGCTATAGTAATCTCCATTGCTTAACTCGTTTCTCTTACCTCCAACTACGGAGAACTACAACCATTTGGACGTCTTTCTGCCAAACGGAACTATGTGCATTGAGACATGAGCCCTGGGACCCATAAGAATACATGCATAGCAGGACTCACGTCATAATGCACATAGTTCCGTTTGGCAGAAATATGTCCATTTACAATGGGGCGTGCTGCCGTGCCTAGGAAGAACGCCGTATGAGCCTTCTGACTTTGTCATGTTTTCTTAAGTAAAAAACAAATATACTTAGAAAATTGTGAATATTTTTCCCCAAAATTTTCATACAATTTTATTCGAGATTTACCCTGGAACATCTGAAAATTGTAAGGAAAAAAATGCACAACCTTCCTCAAAAATACATGTTTTATCCGTGAAAATTTGGCAACTTTCGAATGTCCACACGGCGTTCTTCCTTAGCACGACAGTGTGGGCGTCCCAACATTCCAAGAAATACGCAACTACACTCATGTTCATGGATGCATCCACACAATCATCTTTAATCGTCATCAAACTTTTCGGCGGAGCTCTGTATAAAATTCTCATCGGCTTAAGTGAAAGATGCAAATTTCACCCGAGATTTTCTAAGTGCCCCCCCCCCCCATCGCTCCGGCTTTGATTGAGAATTTTCATCTCAAAAGTAAGCTCCGGTCCGAGCAAACCACAAACAAATCTGCAATGCGGGACTAGCTTCGATGCCAAGTGTAATTATGAACACGGTCAAGTCTACGGAGCTTATTAGCCGCGAAGCGTGGGATTGCTATATGGACATTCTTAAAAAAAAATCTACTTTTTCCGGCTTATTTGGACGTATTTCTGCTGAAAGGAACCAGAAACGGGTGGGGAAGGAGTGTGCTTCTTAGTTGAGGGCCGCACAGCCGTGCTAAGGAAAAGCGCCGTATGGACATTCGAGAGTTGCCAAATTTCCTTCACTAAAATGTTTATTTTTGAGGAGATTCATGAATAATTTTCCCTGAAATTGTCAGGAACTTCGGGTGCAATTGCGAACAGAATTATTTGAAAAATTGAAAAAGAAATATTAATAAGTTTACGGGGCGAGTCGTGTTTTATCGAAGGAAATTTGGCAACGCCTGAGGGTTCATACGGCGTTTTTCCTTAGCGCGGCAGCGTAAGAATGAATGTGAATTACAAAGCGCCGGTGACGTCAGCGACGACGAGCTCAACGTTGCCACATTAACTCTGTCGTGCTAAGGAAGAACGCCGTATGAACATTCGAGAGTTGCTAAATTTACCTCGATAAAACGTTTAATTTTGAGGAAAGCTATGAATATTTTTCCTTTAAATTTTCAGAATGTTTAGGTGAAATTGCGAACAAAATTATCTGAAAAATTGGGAGAAAAATATTCATAACTGTACCAGAAAATTCGCGTTTTATGAAAGGAAATTTGGCAACGCCTGAAGGTTCATACGGAGTTTTTCCTTAGCACAGAAGAACTCATCAGCCCGTGGTTAGGCTCATTTTGTTCAATTAAGAATTTTTGAGCACGATTTGGCGACCGCGAAGAAAATAAAAGAAGTTAGCGTCTCGATAGAAAGAGAAATCTCGATACCCGCCATCGAAACGGCCAAGTTGGAAACTCACCCACGGTTTCATTAGAACGCGGCGGGAGAAGGGGGGAGGAATAGGGGCTCAAGGGGTTTTTTGGGGGCAAGGCGAGGGGGGGAGGGGGCAGAGGGAAGGGGGGGATGAAACCGCCGAGCGACCATCAAATCACAAACTCGAAACGGATAATCGTGGGCTCACCGCAACTTGCTCGCTCGCTCTTGTCGACGGATGTCCTGCCGGAATAATTAACGCTCGCCTTCCGATGTGTTGTCAAATTTCGCCGAAAATACGCCTAATTTGTCGCAATCCGCCCGGCGTGCAGAGCAGAAACGGCAACGTTGTGTCAATTTCGGATGCATGCGTGAGATGACCGGTGTCTTGCGTTATGGTTTTCAAAGTTATGAAAGAGATACCATGATCTTGTGCTGCCGTGCTAAGGAAGAACGCCGTATGAACTTTCAGGCGTTGCCAAATTGTCTTCGGTAAAACACAAATTCCCTGGTAAACTTATGAATATTTTTCCCCCAATTTTTCAGGGAATATTCTTTGTATTTAGATCTGAAGTACCTGAAAATTTCAAGGGAAAATATTCATAATTTTCCTCATAAATGAACATTTTATCAAAGGAAATTTGGCAACTCTCGAATGTTCATACGGCGTTCTTCCTTAGCACGGCCGTATGAACCTTCAGGCGTTGCCAAATTGTCTTCAGTAAAACACAAATTCCCTGGTAAACTTATGAATATTTTTTCCCCAATTTTTCAGGGAATATTCTTTGTATTTTGATCTAAAGTATCTGAAAATTTCAAGGGAAAATATTCATAATTTTCCTCATAAATAAACATTTTATCAAAGGAAATTTGGCAACTCTCGAATGTTCGTACGGCGTTCTTCCTTAGCACGGCAGTGTAGCTCCTCTCACGAAAGAGCGTAACTACATTTCAATGTTGCCGAATCCCCCCTAGCCAATTGCATGTTAATCAGGAGAATCCTGCGCATTTCTAACTGAAAATATCACTGATTGTCCCTCAGATTCCATGCAAATATCAGATAAAATTTAGATAAAAATTATACGGGTAAATTTTTTCTAAATAAATTAATTTTTTGAATCAATTTGGCAACCTTGGAATAGAGTTACGTTCCTTCATTCGGCAGACGAAAAACTCGAAAAGACCGAACCACTCCTGCGAAGCTGAGAGCGGATTTTTTTTTTGGAACTTTCTCTGTGCGTTAGTTTTTCCAATTCCTCGCTTGATATTTTTTTATTAATATCACCAACCTCCCTCATTCAAGTTTCATGTAAGATTTTTAATAAATTAAATATAAACTTACAGCTTCCAAATTTTAGAGGGCATCTTTGAATATCCATTGGAAAATTTTGTAGATTCATTGGGCAGGCAGCTTTGATTGTCAACCTGAAATCAGAATAATCTAACGTTACTTTTTAAACCTTTAGAGGAATAAAACGGGTAGCTGCAGAGTTATTCAAAAATAATGCAAAGTCAGGGCCGGATTAAGGGAGTGGTCACATGGGCCGCGGCCCATGGCGGCAAAATTAGGGGGCGGCAAATTTTGCACTTTTTTTAAATGCAGGTACAACAAAAATCGGATTTAGAAAAAAATTACAAACAAGAAAAGGTGACAAAATCTCTCATTTCCTGAGAGTTCATCAATTTCTAATTTTGTCGTATTACGGTGATACAAAAGACTGCGCACCTTTAATTAGTTGAGCTAAGAGAGAAACCAAACACGTTATTTGGCCTGGAGCGGCGCGGCGCAAAGAGAAATGATGACGAGGACTTGAGATGAAAAGGAGAAGCCCTCGACGCGGCGGTCGGCATGTATCACATATTAGCGCCTACGAGACTGCATGAATACTTCACGCATTGCGTTAAACACAGTACGGTCAACAGCGGTCGGCGCGGCGTAGAACGCACAGTGCCTACAAAACTACATGAATACTTTACGCATTGCGCCAAACACAGTGTGGTCAGCGCGGCACGGCGGCGGAAGTTAAAATTATTAAACCACATTTATGTTTGTTCTTTCTTAATTTTTTAGTTCATTTCTTACAAATGAAAGGCCTTGTCCTCACAGAGATAGGTTTACGGAACTGAACTTTCGCGCGAAGTTCCTCGAACTTTTGCTAGTAGTGTTGATAGGGCTTACGCAAAAAATGTGTCCAACACGAGTGAACGCGTCTTATGCACCCTTCTCCCTCCGGCACGTTCACTTGATGGTTTTTATTGATGTTTCAAAATGAATGAGAAGAGGGCGGCAAAATACAGGCGGCCCGTGGGCGGCAAATAGGTAAATTCGGTCATGAACAGACATGGGTGTCTAGGTCAAAACAACCCGTTTCAGATTTCATAGACTTGGCGGGTTAGCTACAGCATTTTATAACTCTCCAAGAGCCCACTCCAGACATTTGAGCGTCAAAACGAGAACAATGTACTATCGCGTGTATTTTTCATGACAGTGTATGTGTACGCGGTTATTGAAGCGGTAGGTTTTTCTGTTTCGTTTCCACCAAATAGATGAAGATTTCCTCAATTAATTTTAGAGATTTTTATGAGTCTCGTATCCTGCGATTTCTAACGAGCCGATGACCTAAAAAATTTGCCTTTTAGATTGATATCGGAACGTTCATTTATCTAAGCCAAATTTCATCTTAAGCGTCCTAGAAATAAGAGTTAAAAAAGAATGGAAGCAACGATAACCACTCATTGAAACGAGGGTTCCTAGAAAAATATCGAGTGGACTTTTCCATTTTCCGAAGGAATCGGAAGACGAATGTAACTCTGTGAAAATTCCTTAGAAAGGAGAAAGTGACGTTAAAAGTGTACATTATAAACGGTAAACTCAAACTTCATATTACGGGAAATATCGAAATTAACGCAGCAATGTTGCCAGATTGTGTGAAACAACCTGTATATTTTGCATTGAGTTGGTTAGGAAATGTGTTGAATTAACAAGATAATTTGGCAAAAATGCGACGAAAATTGGACGGTGTTAACTAACTTGCCTTTATTTTATCTTGCCAGAGGTTCTTCCTTATTTCATTTTTTACAGAAGTAAGGAGCAACGTAACACCTCAAACTTTTTCGTTTTTTCAGAACCAGCCGCTTTGCAGTCTAGCTCCCGAGGCACTAGCGTTACTCTTGCGATTTTATATTACATAGCGTATAAGATATGAACAACATTCTCAGAACACTTCAAGGCAAAAGCGGTGCTCAGTTTTCTCTTAGAAAATAAAATTGTACATTAAATTAAGCAATGTATCCACGCAGTCAGGCTGATTCCAGCCAATGTCATTCAATTGACGATCAAAACGGTGTTCTACGTTTTGATCTAATTATTTTTCTGTTCCCCTCATTGTAACTACTTACGATCTTGACAACATTTCAAAAGCAAAATTCATCTCACGGCTGAAAATCTGTCATCATGAAGCATCTTGTTCGAGGCGTTAGGCACGGAAAAGGCATTTCTTGGTTGCGGTGTCTCCAAATCTACACGACAGTTTTTATTTTACACTGAGACAAAACTATGGTTTATAAACCTATTAGAGGTAAATATGGAACACCTATAATAGTCGTAAATAAACTAATGATTCTCGGTCTGTGAACCATACTAAGGTCTCTGTACCTAATTAAGGTACCCCGTACCATAACTAAGGTATATGTGCTATTATTATATGTAGAGGTACTACTATTAGAGGTGTTCCATATTTACCTCTAATAGGTTTATAAGCCATAGTTTTTTCTCAGTGTAGAGAGGAAACTATCGGGTAAATTTTCGGAAAATTTTCGTTCTTAGCACATTTTAAAATCATGACCAAAATTCTGTAGAATTTTCAACGAGCTCCATTAATTTGCAGCCGTAACTATAATGAATGAAATTTTAGCGGAGATTTTGAGACAGCACAACCAAGGAATGCCCTTTTTGCACCCAGCGTTTTGATTTGATTCAAGTAGGCAGTGATTTTTGAGTGAGCGGGATTTTGATTGACATTCGCGAAAGATGCTATTTTCCTTTTCGTAGGTGAGTTGAAAAAGAAGAGGATATGTTCAGAAAGGGGCGGGTAGAGCACAGAAAAATAGATACAGAATACTGCATAGACCATGGTCTTCAGCACAGAAAAATAGAAACAGAATACTGCATAGACCATGGACTTCAGCATGGGAAAATAGAAATGAAATTTGTTTCAAGTTGAACTTAAATAAATGCCAATTAGGTAAGTTTTGAAGAAATCGTGGCAACAGTTAAACATGCTAAAAAGCTGGAGTTCATTTGAAACACTTATTATTGCATGTTTTGACCGTTTGCCTTGTGATTTCCGCAAATTAATAAGTTCGTGCCCTGCAGATTCCGTGAATTAATTATACCCGGAGACTTTTTCAATTACGCGCAGAGCAACGAGAAGAATAGCAAAGAGAAGAAAAAATGGAAAAAGAGGGATACTGTTAAAGTATCTTTCGACAACCGAGGAAGTAGATCCAAAACACCGAGATATATCACAATGCGAGACAGAATTTTGGCAAATGAAGCTGCATAAATATGAAGTATGGGCTTTTTATTTAATACTTCGAGACAAACACAGCCGCGGATTAACATTTGAAGCAAGTGATGCAGCATTCATGAACTAATCTCATTGCCAAATTTCAAAAATTCCCTATTTTTCCCAGAGCAAAAACGAAATCTAAGTTTAAAAATAATTGGTTAAGAAATGACGATGAGAAAATAATAAACGACACAGTGACGAATTGTCACCCTCCGACCAAAGTATCAGAAGCGCCACGCGCAAAATTTCCACCGTCATTTTATTTTTTTACAGAGAAATTGTTGGTTGACTTGGTTCGAAAATTTCACTAAATTTCATCAGCAGCACAAAGGAAATTCAGTGAAATTTTCGAAAAGCTTCGTTGAAAAATTTCTCTGTGAAAAAATAAAATGGCGGAGGAAATTTATAAACGTCGCATGGCGCTTGTGATCTTGGAAAAAAAGAGGTAGGGGTTAAGTCCCAACTGTTGGATGATATGGATATTCCCAATTAATTGTGGTAATACCCCCCGATTAATTGTGGTAGTATCCCAATTAATTATGGTAGTACCCCAATAAATTAGGTAACTAACCCAAATGTTGCGGTATTACCAAAATTACTTGGAAATGTCCAATCTAATCCAACAGATTTGGGTGGTAGAACAATTTTGGGGGATAACCCCTGACACTTTTTTTCCGTGATACTTTGGCCGGAAGGTGACCGTGTCCAGGTGAAACCACACAATATGACTACCAGAAAAAATTATGTTCTGTTCCTTAATTTTTTTGATGCCATTGAAACTCTACCCAAATTCAAGTCATGAAAAACAAGAGACTTTGAAATTGGAAACATAACACCTGCGGACTTTGCAAGTTCCGGCCCTTGGGATTAACAATGAATGTTGAACCTCACATCACAACATGTAACACACCCCCGTGGTGAGGTTAAGAATTCATGCTATAAACAGTTTAACGTCAGTCTAGAAGATCGAGGCAGCAGATCGTCCCTTGCACTGAGTAACTTTCACGAATTTCACTTTCCAAATTCAGATACAACAAAATAGGGTATTACTTCGATAGCAATTCGGAGCGCAAACGCCTTCAATTATTCGGTTATGCAAGACACTCCCACCAAGCACGAATAGTTATCTAACCTGCCCCTGCCAACTCTAGTTATAAGTGAAACGAAGGTGTGCTGGACTGCTGGCTTGCTAAGTAAGAACGTTGTATGAGTCTTCAGCGGTTGTCGGTTTTTCCAGGAAAAATACGAATCTTTGGGAAAATGTTCGAAATATTTATCCCCCGATTTTTTTATAGAATTTTCCTCGTAATTTGATCTAAGGTGTCTGCAAATTTCAAGGTAAAATACTCAAAACTTTTTTAAAAGAAATACATCTTTTCTGGAAATAAATTTACCAAAATTCTAATGCTCATAAGGCGTTTTTTCTTAGCCCGGCAGTATGCACTCCTTTTGCCGCAGATCATCAAAAAATGACGAAACGCTCTATTCCATTAGTTTCGTTTCAGTTTTAGCGGGAAATTTGAAATACAATGCCGATTTTGCAATATTCAACCCTTACGGTTTGATTGGTTTTAGCCAGAGGAAGATTTGACCAATGAGAGTTTAGTTAAAAAATCGGCATTTTCCTACTCGACTCTCGTGGGCCTAATCTCCTGCAGATTTCAAAATCCCCGCCAAGGCTAAAACGAGACAACCTAAACGGAGCGCTGCTTGAAGAGCATCCGACAAGCAGATTAATCTTTCCAAATTAATTCTTCTTCTCAGCCAGCTAGGCTGGCCTAGCGGTCAACGCGTCTGACTCCAGACCAATGGGTCCCGTGTTTGAATCCAAGTGGTGGCGACAAATTCTTATGG